TAGAAAGGAATTTGTTTTCTTCTGGCAGACACTTAACTGACTAGCAGTAAAGTCTTACTTAACCCAGTTTCAGGTATTGGATAATTAGAAGTTGGGCTGCTCTCTTCTGTAGTCTACTTCAGGATTTACCCGTACACCTATTACAGAGGGGCTGTCAATCTCACAGGACCCTCTTCTAGAATTGGCAGATACCCCAAGGGGAAAAGCAGGCACAAAATGACATGCTCACTTTTCTGGGTTGCCATTGTCCCTTAGGTCTTGGAAGGATAATTTTTCACTACTTTGTTAGTTTCCATATGCTTTTATGTGGGTGATTTTTATATCTAGCCTAGCTTTTAAAATTATCCTTATCAGGAGAATTGATTACAATTATCTAGTCTGCCATTACTGAAAGAGGACATTACCTTTCCTTTTGTTTTTCCTTCTTGGTTCAATCTTAGAACAATATTAACCCCAAAGTGTTTCTGTTTATATACCTGCATGGGTTCTACATACTCATATACCCCTCTATCATACCTTGTTATCATTCCCATGTCCACACAGATCAATCGATTATTTTCTAATGATATGTTAGGAATAATTCAGTACATGAATTAAATATTCTGCCAGAACACTTGTGATGTATCTTCTTATTTAAACTTTGTGTTCTTGGTGGCTTCCAGTCAAGATGGCAGAATAGATGGTCCCCAGTGTCACTCTCCCCCACAAATCAACCAATTTACAACTATTAAAAAGCAATGACAGCCAAGCTGGGGCTGCTAGAGCTCAGGGGAAGAGGAGGAGAGACCTACGGAGTGCATGAAGGCAGGAGAAGCCACAATGAGAGAAAGAACCACTCTGACTGTATAGAATCCCGGCTGTTTCCAGGCTGGAGCTGGTGAGTGCACCGAGCAGGAGCTGGCAAAAGCCGTAGCTGTGCCCTTCAGATGGAGTTGCTTGAAGGTGGCAGGGGAGAAGAGGGCCTTGGTGGCCCCCAGGCCAGCAAGACCACGAATAGGGTTCCCATGGAATCACATAGGAGCAAGGAGCCACAATAACTGAAAAAAGGGAGCCACTCAGAGGCCTGTGCCATGGAAATGTTTGGAGCACGGGTGGTGGGAGAGAGACGCCCACCGGGAGAACACTGGGGCACAGCAAAGACAGCTGATCTGCCCTCCAATCAGCACAGGACCACTCAGTGGAGACTGGTGAGTAATATAGAATTGCAGGGGGTGCAGTTTGCTGAAAAGACTCAGGCCCAGCCAGAGTTCCTACACAGCCCAGGTGCACTGGATCTCTGGAGTCCCAGAATACTTATAAAGTTGACCATTAAAACCTGAGCTGCACATAAAGCCTTCCCCAGGGAATCAGCAGCAAAGCAGCTATTTAGCTCAACCACAGAGCTCAAGTGCTGGTCCCCACAGGAAGTCCCCCCATTTTAGAAGTAAGCAAAGGACAACAAATTAGTTCCAGTGCAGAGTTGAAGTGCTAGGAACAGCAAATAATCCAACACAGAACTGAAAGAAGAAACAAAGTACCTGCAACCAGAGACAAAGTTTGATATTAACTAGTAAAGGTCTCATATCACCAGAGAACACCTACAAAACCTAGAAGGAACAGAAGTCCTCTGGGCTTGCAAAGCCAGGGAGGAAGAAGGGCTGGGGGGGCCTCAGCCGTGCCTCCAACACCTGCAACCAGTCAGGAGGGTGGGGGGGCCTCAGGCCTTAGCCACGCCCCCAATACCCACAACCAGCCCAGCGACTACCACTGAGCTGCTGCAGGAAGTACCCCAGGCTCTCCTGAGCCAGGGCGGTTGGGGGTGAGGGTTTCAGCCACACCCCTCTCACATTGGCACCCAGCCCAGCAATGACCAAGCCACCACTGGAAGCCCCCTGGTCTTCCATGCAGGAATGAGGGGGAGTTCCACATGCCTCAACCCCACTCCTCCTCCTTCCTCCTTCTGCCACCCTATTTCCCTCCCCTTTCCCCTCTCCCCCTCCCCATAACTGCTCTGCAACATCATCATAGAATGTTTAAAAAAAAAATTAATTAAAGAAAAAGAAAAACAAACTTTGAGTTCTTAAACTTTCTTATTTTGTTGGGTTGAAATTATGTTTATAATAGCAGTTCACTACTTTTGGTCTATATTTTCTCTATGGGCAATGTCATCCATATCCATCCTTTAAATATCATCTGTATAAATTTGCTTATTTATAGGCAAACATTTTCAGAGTATCAGATCTATATGTACAACTCCCTGTTTGTAATCTCTACTTGAACATTTTAAAGGCATCTCAAAGTCAACAAGTGCAAAATTGAGCTCATGGTATTTCCCCTGATACCCAGGCTTCCTCCATTGTCCCCTGTCCTAGTGTACCACTGTTATTCACTGTACTCATAATCCTGCTTTTTTTTTTCTGTCTCAAGTATTTCTTGAATCCATCCACCTCTCTCCAACCACCTACTTCCACCCTAGTCCAAGCTATTATGAGGGTTTGCTCAGATAAGTGTATTAGCTTTCCAAGTGATCCTCACCCCCTGCCTCCCTCTCATCCCATCCTACTTCACTCCTTTCTTTTTTTTTTATTTTTATTTTTTTTTCCTTTTTGTCTTTTTTCATGACCGGCAACGGATCGCAACCCTCAGTGTCGCGCCCGTACCGGACCGGGACCGGCAACGGAATCGCAACCCTCGGTGTTGTGCCCGCACCTCGCTCAGCCAGTGAGTGGCCGGTCTGTATGTGGGATCCGAACCCTCGGCGGGAGCGCCTCCATGCTCCCAAGCGGCACACTGTAGCAGTGCGCCACTGGGCTGGCCCATACTTCACTCCTTTCTGATTCATTTTCAACTTTATAGTCAGCATGGTTTTTCAAAGCATTTAAAATTACAATTTGAGTATTCTCTTGCTTACTGCATCTGAGGCCCTGCATAATTTGGGCTGTTTGTTTCACTGCCCTTCGCGCTTTGTGCTCTAGTTGCACTGATCTTTCAGTTCTTTGGTTCTACATGCTGCTTCTTACTTCTCAGTGCTGGGAATGCTTTCTTTCCTTCTCTTCTTGCCTTCTTATCTCTCTTTATCCTGCCTTTGTCTAGTTATTTCTCTGGCTTCACACAGATCAGTTGTTACTTCTCAGTGAAGCCCTCTCTGACACCCTGAAGGAGATCACCTGTTAGGTGCTCTGATGACATCTTGTACTTCTCATCCTTAGCTCTTATCACCATTTCAATTACAGAATTAACAGTGTTGATAAAACATAATCTGCATAAGGACAGGTACTTTGCTAGTCCGGCTTATTGCTAGGTCTCCAGCACTTAGCACAGTGCCTTGAACATAACTAAATGAATATTCGTTGAATGTTTAGTTGTATATAATCAGCAGGAGTCACTCAAAGGTAGAGAGCCATATCTTTGACTTTTTCTTCAATTTCCCAGAACACTTAGTATGATGCTGAACTTAGTAAATAACTTTGAATGAAATTAAAATTATATTATCTTCAGAATTAGATTTCCATTGGGCTACGTTAGAGAGAGATTAGGTTAACAAGTAAAAGTGTTGCGACTAGCTTGAAAAAAGCCTTATTTCCACTTGCTCATAGAAATTTTCCAGACTTCCCATTGCTGCTTTTTTCCCCACAAGAAAACAGTTTAGAATATTTTTTCAAAAAATATTTAAACAAATATTGCTATAATGGATCATTTGAAGTGGTTTATAGCTATCACATCCATTAAATAGATATTTCTTTGATAAGCACATCCTTTCTGTGCAAAGTTTTAAATTGCTTCTTATTTAGATTTTAAGCCTAAATCATGAAATTACCCATAATTTGAATTTATTATATGTGAAAATGACTTAGCAGAGTAGTCCAACTAGAAGCTCAGTTTCAAAACCATAGTCTTGAAATTTATTTATTTGTTTTGGTGGTCTTGTGATTTTGCATGGCAGGACATTTGATTGTACATTTACAATAGACATATAATAGTTGCTACTGGTTTTGGTATTTCCTTTATGGAGAGAGATCTTCAGGATATTCTTATGTGTACCTCCTCATGAACCTTGCTAATCACTGAAATACAGATTTTAAAAAGGATAAAACATATTCTTTTTTTACTCCTGTTTACTGTCTCCACTCTATTTTCCCTCTCAGATTTTGATTTTCAGTGTTCTCAACTAGTTCTCACCATCCTTTGTTTTAGTATGGAACGTGGCAATTAGGGAAAGGGAAAAGAATGAGGTATCATAGTTAATTGTTAAAGGTATCTTAGAGCTGACACGTTCCGATTATTCATATTTAACCCAGTTTTAAAGTCTTTTATAAACATAATAATTTTATAGTCAAAAGAGCTGTTCCCTGTTGTTGTTAATTACTGAAAATTCCCACATTTATGACCCTCAATACCCAAGATATTTTATATGTTCTACATCTTCAATATTTCAATATTTAAATCCCTATTATTTAATTGCAAAATAATCAGTGATATTATCTTTAAAAATACACAAACATACTTCATAATTTTGGAGTTCCTTTACCTTTTACTAGCACCATTCACTGTAAATGTGTTTTCCAGTTTTACCCAGTAAGATTGATTTCAGAATGTATGAATCCAAAATATTTGCTCTTTTGGAATAAGCCAATGATTAATTTACTGGTTCTCTATGTTGTGTATTGTAAAGAGAAATATCTTCTTGATAGATATAATGCAGGTTTATTGAAGACAGAGCTATTTCTCTCTCTGAGAGTAATGTATTATGTTGTTTTATAAAATGCTTTCTTGCACCATTCATGCTTATAACTAAAGAATGAATTTAAACACAGAAGTTTTCAGTACATTTTCCTTCCTTGAATGAGAGTAATTTTTAAATTTGGAAATGTACCATTAACTCATTTATAGAGTGTCTCATTTCATTTTTGAGGAATTCAAGTTTGGATGCCAGCCATATGATAGTATGTAAGAGGAATGGTAACTGGCATTAAGGCTTGCACTTAAGCAATAGAGGAATTTACTTTTCAGTGTCTTCCAAGGTCCATGAGGATGCACACTTATTTATCCAGAGAGTATGGATCTCACATATGTTTGTCCAGAGGGTGTGACTCTGTGGAGGAGAGCACTTATTGGTAAGTATCAAACTCTTATTGTATTGTTTCAGAAAAATATGTCTAGAAATCAACTGATTTTTAGCAGTGATAAAATCTCTTAGTCTGTGCTGGTTTCTTAACAGTGGACAGTCCCAGATGTTGAAGTCAGCACAACAAGAGAAAAAACCCAAATCCTGATAAGACTTGAGGATTTTTCGAAAATTAAATGCAAACTATTTGGGGCAAATGTTGCTGCGGGAGTCAAGACTAAGTAATACAGTAAGAAGATATGAAGTTGGAGACCTTCTCCTGTTCTTCTTTTGCATAAAGTTTGCATATGTAAAAACCAGGACTTTAATGACTTCACAAGGGGGCAGAATTGCATCTCTTGGACCTTAAAAGAGCAGACTCATGTGAACTGGAATGTACAATGTACAATTGTGATGTGGCCTTCACAATTTATTTCAATATTTCTTTGCAAAGCCATTTCTGTTTCTTAAAAGAAGCTGTGCCTTCTGAAACCTGTAAGTGATGTGTACTGGCCACATCAAACCTTTTAAAAGTGTTTTCCAAATCCAAAATTGTTAGTGTGGAGCAATTGTTTGTTTCGGAATCAGTAAAACAAGGGGGTAGGGGAGAGTTGATTTCAGAGTGCTTCTTTTGTCTGCTTTATGCCTTAACATTCCTTCCCTTTTTCTCTCAGCCAAGAACTCTTAAGATATGTAATTAGTTCAATAGTTGCGCATACTATTGGTTGAAAAAACTTATAAAATAATGTTTGTGCATGTGATACAAACATTTAGAACAAAACAAAAATCAACTACTCAAATATGTGATAGGTTTTCTGGGAATTAACCATAGCACATAAACATTTGCCACACAGATGTTGCTGACAGATCTCCCACACTACCACATGAAGGCTTAGAATTAATTTAAGCCATGCCTTCATCAATGATGAATGGAAGTACAGCATCAGTGAGGAAGAAGTCAGTGCTTCGGAGTGCTTTGGCATCTGGCAGCCAAGGGTTAAGTCTTAGAGTTGCTGGTTATTAGCTCACTAGCCTTCAGCAAAATCCTTCACTGCTCTGAGTCTGTTTCTTCTGCTGTAGAAATAAATATGCTATTTGCTAGCATAATCACTGGCAGTGGTGCCACTGTGCTGAATCAAGGAGTCTGGGTACATGGTCTAAATCATGGTTGCAGAGATGTTGCAGAAGAAGATAGCAGTAACATCTCCTTACAGACATGATAGGAAGAGGATTGAGAATGCATTTCTATATGAACCATTTTTGCTTTGCCTTCTGTCTAATTCTGCCAATCCCTAATCTTTAGGACCCACCTCAAAATCTCTTGAAGCCACCTTTTAGGAGATGTGGGAAATGTGTGAAGGGAGAGAGCATCAAGAGCAGAAAGCTTAGGTGAAAGGGTGAAAGACAAATTGTGGTGCAGGAATCTCAGATCCTTCTGCCCCTTCCTGTGCAGGTCATGAGTCAGGTAATTGAAAGAAGATTCTGGCAGCTTTAAGCAAGGTAGACATACTTTGTTCTTTAGATATGAGCTTCACAGACATGCTTTATTCTCAGACACGAGTTCTGGCTGTACTCCACTGACCCTCTATGCTCTGCCGACCTTCCAGGCTCTGGTGACCAGCAGTTCAGAGCAGTTATCTTAATACTTTTAGTATACAGTAGCAGCCACAAGCTAATTATTACATAATTACAACAATCATGCTGAATCAGTAAATGGGCACACATGTGCAATTATACTAGTCATAACTTATTTCTAATGAATGTGCTGAATCTTGCCCATTTGTAATAGGTGTGAGGTGAGAGATCCTGACTAAACTTTTTCTGCTTTCCTTATACAAACATCACCCAGCAATTATTCACTGAGTGTCTGCCTTGTCCTAGGAGTTGGGGCTAACAGTAGTGAAGAAACAGACAAAAGTCCTTGCAGTCATAAAGCTTGTTTTCTAGTTGTGGGAGATAGACCACAAACAAATGAATATATTGTGTGTTGGATGATGGTGATGAATAAATCTGTAAAGGGGGTAGTGAGAGCTGGGTAAGAGGGTAGTTTTCAGTTTTAAAATAAGGTCATTAGGGAAGACCTCATTGAAAAGGTGATATATGGGTAGAGGCTTGAAAGAGGTCAGGGAGTAAGCTATGGGGAAGTCTGGAAAAAGGGGGAATTGAGAACAGATCTTACATGTCATTAAAAGGATTTTGACTTTTCCTTTGAGTGAGATGGAAAGCAGCTGGAAAGTTTTTGAGCAGAACAGTGACATGATCAGACTTATTTCTTAAAAGAATCTCTGGCTGCTGTATAGAGAATAGATAGTAGAGGAGCAATGGTGGAATCAGGGACTAAAAGTTATTAGAGTAATTTAGGCTGCAGATGATGGTGATTTGGACTAGGGTGGTAGTGATGGAGATGACAAGTGGTCAGACTGTGGATCTGTGTTGAAGGTAGATCCGTCAGGATTTACTGTTCTTTTGGTTGGGGTGAGTGAGGGAATGAGAGGAGTTAAGGATGACCGAAAGTGTTTGGGCTGAGCAGCAGGGAGGGCAGAGTTGTCATTTACTATTTGCAGAGATGAAGAAGATGGGAGAGAAGATTAAGTAATAAAGTAAGAAGTAATACAGAGAAGAAGATGGAGAAACAGGTTCTGGGGAGAGATCAGTTAAGGTATGAACAAGATGAGATTCCTACTAGATATCTGTGGGCGCTGTAGAGAGGAGACAGTTGGATATACAATAGTCATCATTTAAATGCTCATTTTGCATAATAAGTTAAGTCACAAAAGTTCTGTTTAAATGACTTAAACCTCTATGAAGACAGTGCTATAATTCATATGTTATGCATCAGGAAATAATGCAGAAACATTAATTTGCCTAAATTTACAGATATGAAACTTTGTTTTATGTCTGTAAGTTCCATGTTGTTCTACTAACTTTACTGTATTAGTTAAGGCATTCAAAGAAAATTCCCATTATTGCCATACTTAATTGAACAAAGTAATACTTTTAGCTGCCTTTAATATTACACACACACACAAATACCCACACCCACACTCACACACACTTCTAGAGAAGTATAGGTACTATAATATCTTTGATGAGGCTTATTCAGGAAGTTTTTTTTTTGACTGCTGTGTTGAAAGCTAATATTCTAATGTACGTTTTAATTTTGAATATACTTTGAAAAATTTTTTAAATGGTGAATGGAGATGACTATGATATAATTAATTTTTAAATATATTATATTTTAGAAATTCTCTTTTAAAAACAGTTTACTTTGTGGTAATTTATGTTCTTATCAGTTGCTTAAAGAGAAAAATATATTTATATGCTTTTAAATGTATTTCTTTTTATAGTAGCATATATAATGTTTACTTTTTGAAGCAGAAGAATAAGTAATGAAAACATGTGATTGAGTTTAGACATTATCATTCTCGACAGGATGACAAACTGTACAATACAAATAGTAAAATAGAAATTGAAACCTATCAAAAATGCCTACTCTGTTGTTTAAAGGTTTATGTACTGTTTATAATTTTCATTCAATAAAGCAATGGAGTGTTATTTTATTTTATAAATTCCTAAGACATTTAAATTTTATGTGGTCCAATGAGCTAAATGATCAGGAATAGATTATTATCGTTTTCTTAAATAAAATGATAAGTAGTACATACCCTTAAAGGTCATATTTAGTAATTTTGTGAAATATGACAATGTTTGGTTTCTATAACCTTGAATTTCTGAAAATCATAACTTCTGACCTCTTATCTACATAAATAGCAAACTCTTTCTGATTATACAGGAAGTCCTGCATGTTGCAGGAGTGGAAATGCAGTTAACGGCCGCGGTATCATTTTTGACCATTCTACAGGAAGAATCAGTGTCAATTCATGCATATGCCCACTCCTTCCTCCAAGTCATTCTACTGCATCTGGAGCACAGGGATGCAGGTCAGGGGCCTGGCATGCTTAATTATATATTTATTTATTGTTTCTTGTATGTGGTCTTGATGTTATTTGAAGCCTGTTAGCCTGATGAGGATAACTGAATGAGGACATGCTGCCCAAGTGTTGAGTGGTGGTATGACTTAAATCAGCCATGGCTGTCTCCTTACAAAAACCACAAAGTTCACTATCCTTGAAAGTTGAAAACTTATGTTTTGTGCTTTTTTCTTGGATTTTTTTTCTTTTATGACATTTATGTTTATAGTATTATTGACTGCAAGAAAGCACACCTTGGGTTAAAGATATCCTCCCAGTATTATGTTTTAAAATAAAAATTTTTGTAGATGTTGGCTAAGACAAAACCTAGAGAAACTTCTTAGAATAGTAATAAAAACAATTATTCCCATTTTACCATTAAATGCTGTTGTAACTGTTAATGACTGAGTTGACACTGAATTTGTAAATAAGACTTTTAATTTATCATGTTATGGCTGTGTCACTCAGGTGTCAGCAATGCATGGCTGGAAACTCTTCTGTCTGTGATAGAAGTATTGCCAAAAGAAACCCTAAGGCATGAGGTAATACTTTTTTTTTTTTTTTTGGGTAAATATTAATAAGTAAGTCATTGTAAGGTTTTTTGTCAAAATTTTTTTTAAAAAAGGAATAAAGTTGTTTCCCATTCTGAAAGTAATACAGAAAATAGAAAAAAAAAATAATTCATCGTTCTGTACTTGGCCACTTTTAAGATTTTGGTGTATTTCCTATCATATTTCCCTCTACATATGATTGCTGCTTGCTATATTCATGATTATATTGAAATTACATATGGTTGTTTTTCACTTAGCATTATTTTTCTATATTATTTTAAATTCATTTGGTAGTAGCTGCAAAATATGTTACTTGTTAAACATTTAAGCCTGTTTACAGACTTAAATTTTACAATTAAAATAAGCATTAAGGAACATCTCTGTAGCAGCTTTTCTGTTTTTCAGGTAATTTCTTTAACTATAACTTCCAAAAATATGAAATAACTAGGTCAGATGGCACTACTATTCTTAAGCTGTTGGCCAACAATATGTGAAAATGCTGTTTCACTGGCCTTTTATCAGTGACAGTGTTCCAATTTAATTTGATGGGGCAAAAATAGAATTACATTTTAGTTGGAATTTTTAAATTCTTATGCTGTTAAGTATTTTCTCGTACATTTATTTTACTTCTATTTATTCTTTTGGAGTTGTCTGATTCTAACCTTTGGGCACTGTTTATACATACCATTTACCCATTAAGATTGCCAGTTCTCTGTTATACCTGCAAATGTTATTGCAAATATTATTTCCAATTTGTTATTTGCCTTTTAATTTTCAACACTGTTCAATATACCCTTCAGTAAAACTTTTAAGTGAATTAAGATGAGAGAATAGGAAAAACAGAAAGGAAATTCATCCACTAATGAAATGCTCTTACATTATATGAACATTATCTCTTTCTGTATTTCTTTTAAAACAGGTCATGGTTGAAAAAACCAGTTATCAATGAAATGTCTTCTATTTATTTCAT